TGGCTCAGTAGGCCAGTGCCCCTGGGTTCAATCCCCGGTACCGTCCCCCCCCCCAAAAAAAAAAAAAAAGATTCCAAAGGGCCTAGTGGAAGTAGGAGGCCTCAGGCCCAAGAACCACAGGGCCTGTTCCCTGCTTTCTGATTCGACTCAGTCGCCCTCAGGGTACCCCAAGGGGCCAATAGTAAGCCCTGAGTCCCCAGCCACCTTGCCACAGACCACTGTGTTCCTAAGTGGCTCTGAAGCAGCAGGGCAGGACAGGGTAATAACGGTCATCTCAGGGCCAACYTGGAGAGTCGACCCAGATGCAGAGGGGGTTCCCTAAACACAGTGCTGCCTGYGACCCCAGAACAAGGGATGGAATGTGAGCCACAGGGGTGCCCGAGGTTCAAATTGTTGTTGAGGGAAAATGACAAAGACTTATTTAATGCCTGCCTCTCCTCCTCACCAACTTAGTGCACAGCTCGCAGTAGGGCTGCATCTTACAAGAACTAGGCAAATGAGAAATAGTGACCTATAAACATTTTAATAAAATCTCACTTTTTGCACACAATTTGAAGACAGTGAATTGTTAATTTGGAGGGTTTCCCTAAGAATTGCATACTATTAATTTAGCAGGTCTCACGRGTTGTACACACTAGGATGGTGCCGATCAGAGCTACAAATGAGGATGACTTCCACAGAGAGATCAGCAGAGTAGGGAAAGGGAGCCAGTGCGGGGGGACTAAGTACTGGGACTGAACTGGAGCATATCGTGTATGTATAATTGTGGCAAAGTGAACCAATACAAAATGAGAGTGAACGGGTGGCTCTGTGTCCGTGCTGGGGCAGCGGGGAGAATGCTGGCAGGGACTTGGTAAGGCAGGTGCTGAGCGTGGGGGAGACCTTTCCAGAGTTCTCCCCAGAACAGTCTGCCTTACTGGTCCTCAGCAGCACGGTCCACGCAGGTGCTGCTGATGGCCGTCTAGTGACTGCACATACAGGGTGACGGGGTAAGAGCACCTCGMGCAAGTCTGTGGGCCAGAGAACTCGAGGGGTGTGGGTCGGGTTCCAAACTACCTTCAGCTGCCAGGAGCACCCCCTTCCCCACTCCCGGGCCCACCTGGGAGAGTCTGCCCTCTGCGTCCTCCACCACCCACAGCTGCACCCCGTGGCTCCAGCCTACCAGGGCAGGCACCCAGCCCAGCCCAGAAGCCGCTCTCCCCTGTTGAGAGTATGGAGGGAGAGACGGAGGAGGAGGATGACAGCATCTCCCTGAAACAATGCGGCAACCCGGGTGGGCCCGAGGATTGGGCCTACTGAAAACCCACAGGAAGCCCTCTCAAATTGCCTCCTCAGGATCGAATGAGTTCTACACGTCCCTTCACCACGACTCTCCTACCACAGGAAAGGATCTCCCTTACCCATGACATTGGTGTTACCATCACTTTTGGTCGGCTCAGATGCTTGGATGACCAACAGCTTGCTTACATCTGCAGTTCCCTGAATCTAAAGGGAAAAAAAAAAAGTCAAAATCATGCAAAAGAGCATCTTCGAAGCCTAGGYGGGCTGCTTCCCAACTTCCCCCCAAAGTCTAAGAATCGACCAGAACCTAGGGCTGGGTCTCTATCCTAACCTCTGTCTCTTTAACTGGGAATCTCTTTTGATGTAGTTTCAAGAAGTCTTAGACCAGCTAATTGTCTTTATGAGTACTTATAAAAACCAGAGAGGAACTTTCTTGGAATCCCCAGCAAACAATGAGGTGCTTTTACTGAGGCTACGGTGGAGAGCAGGGCTCAAGCCCAGCCTCCCCAGGATGCCAGGGCTGACTCCCTCCCTGAGAGGTTTGGCTCCACGGGCCACAAAACCTGTCTTCCAGACGCCAGTCACAGACCAGTCATAACGGCAGCTCTCATCTCTAAACGCTGCCTGTTGTCCCATCTCTTTAACCCTCACCCTAGCCAGGGGACATGGCCACCACCCTAACCCTGAGGAGGAACCCAGGGTCAGGGGTCAGGCACTTCCTGTGCTTCCCTCCACCCCTCTGGCTGGGTTAAGATTTAAATCCAAATTTACCTGACTCTTAACAAACAGGATGGTAGGCAGCTGCCCCCCGCTTCTTGTTCCCACCCTTTGTTGAAAAGCTAAAGAGATTTCCACTTTCCATTACAAACATTCAAGCCAGGTCCGGGGTGAGCCRGGATCCCTCCACTCAGGAGGCTGAAGCAGGATGAGGAGCTGGCGGCCAGCAGGGCAACTCAGCCARACCCTGGCTCAAAATCCAATTGAAGGGAAGGGACTGAGACTGTGGCTCAGTGACAGAGCACTTGCCTAGCTTGTAAGAGGCCCTGCGGCCAATCCCCCAGTACTGGAAAAATATTTTTTTWAAAAAAAATATATTTTTTAAATTCTATTTTTATTATAAATATATATTTTTAATTACCTTGATCCTCTGAATTATCGAAATTATTAATGACCTTTCATAGTTTCAACAGACAGAAAAGTTCTCTCCCAAAGAGAAGAAACTTACTACCAGATGAAGAAGACGTCAGCTCTCACGGCCTCCGGTCCTCCTCAGTGGTGGGTCCCACCCTCCCACCCCCCAGGGGTCCAGCAGCAGGTGGCTTCGACCTTTCCTATGTCCCTGGTGCCCTGAGTGTTCATATTTTCCCCATCCTTAGCTACACAGGCACCGAATAATGAGGCCAGAGGCCCAGGGCCTACTCTCAAGAGGCACCTAAGACCCCAGACAGGACAGCAAAGGGTCCAGCCCCTCCCCACCACCTCGGTCAGCCAGGGAGGACATCGCAGAGCACACGCCGAAGCCGCACTGAACCCATCCTCCCACACATGGCCAGGCCTGGCCAGCAGAGAACAGGCGGGTTCCAGCCATGGACGAGCAGCACAGCCTGTGAAGGCCCCGCCGCAGAGCTGCGGAGGCCCTGGGCTGAGGGCCGGTGAGAACTGCAGGGCCTTCCCAGGTTGGAATTCTTTTTGAGGTTGGTTGAGGTTTATTTTTTTGTTCTTATTTCATTTATTGAATTTATTGTCTTTCAACATCTTTTTTAAAAGTTTTATATATCTTTTAATTTTTAATTGACACATCATGATGATGCATGTTTGTGGGGTTACTGTGTGACATTCCAATACACGCATACAATGTGAAATGGTCAGATCAGGGTAACTGGCGTATCCATGACCTCAAATGTTTGTCCTTTCTTGATGTTAGAAGCTTTTAAAACCCTCTCTACTAGCTATTTTGAAATATACAATTAATCATCATTTGGGTTTTAAAGCCACTTATGGGCACCATGAACAGCAACTGGTACCCCTTACCTGCTCACAGGTTTTAGGAATGATGCAAGGTGCCAAATACGGTTCCTCCGTCTTGCTATCAATTACGCTGCCGAACACGATGATGACAAACTTCATGGCCATATTATCGATAGTCATTTCATTGTAGCTTGATAAAGTCTCCACGTAAGCATGATTGAGCATCACACACTTCTGAAACCTTAAGTCCTAGGATAAAATCACATTTTTCYATCAATCATATGAGCTGACACCTGATATCAAGAAGAAAAGGAATTCACAGATCTGAGTTCTTCGAGGGTGTCAGAAGGCTGGGGACCCTGGTAGCAACAGATTTATTCAGCTTTCAGAATGGCCTCTGACCCCTCCAGAGTAGAAGGCTTCGTGCTCTTGTCTTGGGTCCTGGGATGTGGTTGTCCAGCCCTGACCTAGGAGCTCTCCAGCAGCTGCAGCCGGGCGGCCAACCGTGCCCTGCTGGATTTCTAGTGGCACCAAAACCAGTCTTCATTCTCGCCCACGGCCCGTGTGGGCAAGGGAAAGGGTTCCCCTCTGGAGGATGGGCTGGCTGAGGAATAAAAGCTAGAAAAGTACTACTACAAAATAGCCACAGGGTGCAGAAATACAGGTCCAGAGTGGGGGCAGCGACAGGCCACGCTGACCAGACGGGTACAGCTTCTAACAAAGAACAGAGCCCGCACCCGGTTTATTTATATCAGAACAAAGAAATTCGATAGAAAGTTCTTCCCCAAACAGGATAGAGGTGGGGACAGGTAGGCTGCCCGGTTCCTAACCGGTCACACCCATCTCCGTGCTGCGGGGGAACTCTTGGCAGACAGAAAAGTTCTTCTGACCTTACTGCTCTTTGGAAGAACAGTTCATGGAAGAGGTTTCGTCACCTCCACACACATTTGAAAAGCCAGGAGGGTCTATGTTAACGTAGGTAGAGAAACCAGTTAAAAAGTACCGGACTGGGGATGTGGCTCAAGCGGTAGCGCGCTCGCCTGGCATGCGTGCGGCCCGGGTTCGATCCTCAACACCACATACCAACAAAGATGTTAAATATTAAAATCCTCACTCTCTCTTTAAAAAAAAAAAAAAAAAATTAAAAAATAAAATAAAAAGTACCGGACAAGTGTTCATTAACTCTGGCCAGTTCATGGTGCCCTTGGCCAAGGGATGTACCCTTTTCACACCTTCTGAATCGACTGTCCTTCTGGAAGGAAGGTCTGCAGGTGGCCTGAGAGCTCACCGTGACAGGAGTACTGAGGAAGAGAGTGGTTCCTATGCTAGCAATCTCACTGTGGGAGATCAGACACAACCTGCCTTCTGTCTTTGGACACCATGAAATACATTTTGTGAGAGCTGCAGTACCTAAAAATTCGTCCACATTCAACCATGCAGCTTACCTCGTCAGCGAGACTCGATTCAAAGTACTGAGAGGCAGTATTGAGGGCCAGCTTCAGCCAGATCTTATATTCCAGGGATGGCCAGAAGACATCGAAGCCTTCATAGAGGTCCTCCAGGGAGATGAAGAAGGCCTGAAACAACACGGACTCGAAGCTAAGCTACTAGAGCACCGTCCAACAAGACACCCCCAGACTTAATCTCCATCTTCTCAGAAAAACTCCCTGTCAACTCACACGACTGGGATACGCTGCCATTTAAAAATGTCTGTGATGTGAAAAGTCACTGGCCATGTACAAAATCATAGATCATATGGCTGAATTCGAGATCCAGACTTACTAACAGAGCAGGGACATGCCCCTCGATGGATACATAGGAGAATATGGTTCATGAGTCTAAGATTTGGGAACTGAAGTCCTGTGAACTTATCTGAATGTCACAGCTGGTAAATTCACTTTTACCAACTCATTCCCAGCACATGTTCACCTGCATGAAGATCACACTTCCAGAACTCAAGTCAAGGGATGGAAAGAAATCATTCAGCCCTGTGACTAAATTCATGCCTCTGCCCGCTTCCAGAAGGGAAGTGGTATCAAGTTTATAAGGCAATATTCCCTTCTGCTCCTCACACCCCTAAGACCAGATCCCGCTCTGCTGCACCTAACAGCCCCCGTAGATGGGAAGCTCACGGTGGCAGGTGCTCTGGCTCCTCGCTATCTGAATTCTCCACACCTACTGGAGGCTCAGGCTGGCCTTTGATGAACAGATCGCTTCTTATTTGGCAGGTAAAACAAAAAAAAAAAAAAAATGGAAGAAAGGACATTTTAAAGCGAACTAAAATTCTTCAGAAACACTGCTCTCTGAATGGCGCCATTTACTGAGCACCTACTGGTGCCAGCTCAATCTGCATTTCCCACCCCTCAGAACAGCAAGGGGCAGGCCTTCTCTCTAACGAATAAACATGGAAACAGGACCCAAGGAGACCCACAACCAGGACACAGCAGAGCCCCGCGCAGCCTGGCAGGGGAGGCTCAGAATCTGCCTTCTTGCAGCTATTCCTGGGCCCCCAGGATGATGGACACCCTCTGCAGACCGCCGGCCTGACCTGTAGCGTGGTCTCGCAGACGGCGGTGTATTCCATCTCGCGCTTCAGCAGGCAGCTCAGCTCCCCCAGCACGTCCCCACTGGTACAGTACTCTGTGAACATGGTTTTGGACCCTTTATTCGGCTTCAGGCTACTGTCTATCCCAAAGGTAGGAGACGAGCTATGCAGCTGCAAAGGAGAGCAGAAAATCAACACCTTTAATAAGCCTTGGTTAGTCCAAAGGAAGGCGAAGGTTCTTTGTGAATCAGTCAAAAGTGAAGGAAGAATTCGCCTTCAGAAAAGTCCTGGTCCCTTTCACATCTCAACTCCACAGAGCAGAGATTCTTCTCATGTTAAAAAAGAAAAGAAGCGAGGTGCAGAGGTGCACACCTGTGATGCCAGCGGCTCAGGAGGCTGAGGCAGGAGGATGGTGAATTCAAGGCCAGCCTTAGCAAAAGCAAGGTGCTAAGCAACTCAGTGAGACCCCGTCTCTAAATTTAAAAAATAATTTAAAAATTAAATTCATTAAAAAATGGGGATTTGGCTCAGTGGTCGAGTGCCCCTGAGTTCAATGCCCGGTACCCACCTACTCCCCCAAAGGAAAGAAAAGAAAAATAGGATTCTTATAAGGATTAAACGGTATAACATACTACCTTTCCAACCACCTTTTGAAATCACAACTAACCTCTTTTCTCCAGCACCTCTGACATTCTACCGGGTGAGCATCCCTAACCCACAAATCTGAAATCCAAAATCTGAATCTTCTTTTGGAGCATTGACATGACCCTTAAGCGAAAAATTCCACACCTGAACTCAAGAGGCGGGGCATGTCACGGTCAAAACGCAGGTGCATTAAAAGTGTTGTCTAAAACCACCTTCAGCCTAGGTGCGCAAGGTGTGCACAAAACATAAGCTGACTTCATGTCTAGACGCAGGTCTCATCTCCATGATACATAATGGCCTTTTCAAATGTTCCAAGATCTGAAAAAAATCCAAAATCCAGAACCCTTCAGGTCCCAAGCATTTTGGATTAGGACACAGCACCTGGGCATGTTCTATTCTGTCCACTGTCCATCTCCTTCTGTTTCTCCACCAGCAAAGAGCTTGGCAAAGCCAGAGGTGCTTGCCTTGTCCATCCTGTGCCTGGGGTGGACAGCGCCTGCCCCACGGTAGTAACCAGGTAAATATTTGTTGAATGAATGAACCAAACTATTTAGAAGAAGGTCGGATACTTAAAACACTGGAGCTCCGGGGGCTCTGGCTTGAACTCCCACCTGTGTTAGGTGTGCGACTTAAGTCCTGGTCTCCTTGTCTGCGAGTCCCCCACGTGACCGCCTGCTCCCAGGACTGCTGAGGGGAAGCAGGCATGGACCAGAGGCCCTTTGTCAAACAGTTCACACTCTCAGACGCAGAGTGTGACATCAGCTCAGCCACCGCCATCACCCAGCCAACAAGGCTCATTTGGAAGAGAAGTTTTCAGTTCCTAAGTTGCTCCTTTTGTTATAATTATACATTTCAAAATACGTCTCAAGAATCAGTAGCTCCTGGGGCTGGGGTTGTGGCTCAGCGGTGGAGTGCTCACCTTGCACGTGTGAGGCCCTGGGTTCCATCCTTTGCTCCACATAAAAATAAATAAAGATTATGGTGTCCAACTACAACGAAAAAACTAAATATTTTAAAAAGAAAAAGAATGAACAGCTCCTTACACTTGCCATTCCTGAAATTATCAAGTAGATTCCTTGTGGCATTTCCCCTTCTCTGCAAATGACATCTCCGTAATCAAAATAGGCAAGTTTGGTTCTTTCCTGAAAGAAAAGAAAAAACAAGAGAGAGAAAAAGTCAACAAAAGATGTTTATAGTCTACTTTTCTAGAAAGAAGTAAAGTTTTAAAGTTAGAGTTGTTCTTAAGTAACATAAAAACACAAACTGTATTCTTGGTTTCTTAATTTTAACATSAATAACTATGTCTTTATTTTAGAAATAAAGAGATAAGCAAACAAACTCTAGACTTTGTGATCGGGACCTAACATAACAAATGCTATAAGCACTCAATAAATGCTTTATGGGATGGATTAGTAAATTAATGAAGAACAACATTTTTTAGCCTTCATCTGGGGCTTGGGCTATCATGGTAACACAAACACATTCCCTGCGGCCGGAAGGTCTTTGGTTAGGTTGGGTGGATGCCAATGGGTGTGGTGATAATGTCAAAGGAGACAGAGGCAGGGTACCATGGTACCGTGGAACAGGGCAGAAAGGCCACAGGACCTCGTCGTGGTTGTTCAGTGAGACCTTTACAGATGAAGGGATAGCTAAATGGAAACCTAAGAGAAGCATTCCAGGATATTCCATAGCTGTTTATTGAAAGGGTCCAAATTCCTGTAGGAAGAGGATGAGCTCTGGAAAGCGCCACAGTCCTCACTGTTCCCTACTGCATTCCACCCCCTTGGTTTTACCTTTATATTATCTGCCTGGCCTCTACAGTCATTTCAATGTGAGATCCTTGGTATAAAAATAGGTTTCTTCCAGAATTCGCATCTGGAAGTCCAGCACTCTAGGTAACAAAATAGAATGCCATTGATAATACTCAGGAAACACAGATGGCCCGTCTCTGCCCCCTAGTCCCACAAGCTGTCTGCCCCTAGCTTTGCTGGGCCTCATCTGCTTCTCCTCAGATTGGCCAGTATAGGATTTCCCTTTGGATGTGCTTTTCTGCACATTAGATGGTACAAAAAATGGCGGAAATATTTAACATTTACATCAAGCCCGAGCCAGACAGAAGCTTTACCTTGAAGAACTCAATGAGGACATCTTTATTTTCCATCCAGATGATATTATGAAGGTACTTGTCAGGAGTAGGGGGTGGGATTGCCATTGGAAAATGATTCAGTGCTTTTATTTTCATAAGAAGTACCTAAAAGCAACCAACCAAAATAATGATGATCAGGTACTGTCACAGAAAACGGGCTGTACATTAAAAAAAAAAAAAAAAAATCCGACCCTAGGACTCCACATAAATTACTCCGGTGCAGGTTTGACCTTGAGTCAGCTCAAAGCTCCTCTCGCGGGAGCCCATTTGTTTGTCCCCTCCTGCCCTAGTGATCGCCACTGATGTAAGAATTCAGATGGAACCTGCCATCTTCCTAACCCACTGAACATGGTGCCCCAGCTTATCTTCAACGCAGATGTCCTCAATCCCGCACTGATGGCTCCACGACCTCCCTGTGTGTCGTTGGTGTGTACAGTCAGCCTCTCTGAGCCTTCTAACTAGGAGCACAGAGTCCTAGCCTGTGGCCTCTGAGAATCCTTCTCTTTTCCAGTGAGAGAAAAATCAGGTCATCACCCTTCTTCCCGGGTCTCCACCATGGGACTCGCTACCCTGTGGTGCTGTTCCCTCTTCCTTTCYGTCTCACCCCTCCTATTATTCAACTGCCGTTGGTTGGATGAATAAATGACTGGATGAAAAACAAAGAACCGTGGACCTTGGGGTCAGTATTGTATCCCCACTGGAGTCCCCGAGCACCTAGCAGGTCTCCAACATGGATTCACTCAATCGCATTGAATCTCCTCCCGTGTCCTATGGCCTGGGATAGGTGCTGACAGTTAGCCAATCAGTAGGCATTCAAGAGGTGGCTGTTAGGGACGGACTCCTCCAGCAACTTTCTAAACAAACTTACAGGGAAAATAAGTCTCTCTGCTCATAAGAGGTATCGTTTCTTTATATTAATTAATGGTGCTGTTAATTAAGAGGTGTCGTTTCTTTATATTATTTAACGGCATSGAGCATCCACTTGTCTTATACAAACTTCAAAAGGGCTAATTTTAAAAGTAGAAGATGAAACACAAAAGGGAGAGGACTACTACCAAGTGGCCCTTTCTTCCCTCAGGCAGGCATTCAGGGGAAATGGACTGTCCATCTGGGCCTTCCCTGSACATTACAGAAACTAAAGAGGTAGAGCCCTGAAGGAAAAAGCCTGCATCATGTCTTCCCGGAGACCACCGAGAGGGGACCGAGTCAGCGAGTGACCGAAGCACAAAGCAGGTGTCCGTGGCTGGGTGCTGCCGTGACGAGGAAGGGCGTGTGTCACCAGGGACAGGCTCCGTGAGCAGCACACACAGGCCAGAGCCCCCGTGGCCTGGTACGTGCTAGCACGCAGCTCCTCACCTGGGAGCAGAAGGACTCGTACCACACACAGACAGTCAGATGTGACAGAGACGCAGGACTGAATGTGGCTTTCTTCCCTTTGTCTTAACAGTTCTGATTTTTTTGCAAGTCTTTTACAAGGTTTAAAAAGTCGATTTTTGTTAGCTGACCGGTCAGGCCACCTTCCTGCTGCTCCTCTCGGAGCTGCGTCCTCCGACCCCCACCGACAYACAGACACACAGGTTGGTTCCCTCCCGCCATGCACTATCAGGTGGCTGCCACCTCCAGTGCCACGTCAGTGGGACCAGGACAAACAGACTCCACCAGTTGATGGAGAAATCTAGTGAGTCTAGACCGGAGCCAGAGGAGGGCGCCACAGAGGGCGACCCCGAAAGGAAACCGGGACTCTGGAAAGGCCTCCTGGAGTTAGGCATGCCCTTCCAGAAGCCTGGCCACACAGCCGGGCTGCTGTGGGCTCCGTGAGATGCTCGGTGTCCTTTGAAGCAACCCACCAGCCCTATTTCCTTACTAAGCCTCACTCCAGCTGGTTTCTGATACTTGCATCTAAGCAGCTTTGACTAATGGGGTGCAAGAGGTAGAACTGGCATCCTGTGCCCGGGAAGCCACCAAGCCACAGGCAATGCCAGAGGTGGGACCTGCCCGTGAACACTCTTTTCCCCGATCTACCTCACTTATTACTTCCTGCGAAAGTCATGATGCGGGTGGGGTTCCGGGCCGATGGGATCAGGCAACGTGGAAACTGCTTCGTTACCTTATTCATCTCGATGCCCTCGTGTTCGTCGATGATGCCCCTCGACCTGAGGAAGGTGAGATTCTTCAGAGCTTTAGCCACCACGTTCCGGATCGCCTGCTTAGTCTTCAGAGCAATGACAACATCACGGCCTTCATGCTCTATGAGTCCTGGGGACAGTGTGCAGTACCCTCATGGGCATTCCRCTCAGTTTCCAGGGTTCCCACGTGTCCTCATTCCAGTTCCACACAGAGCCCGTGGGGCTGCCCACCCGCTCAGAGGAAAGCACCTCTCGGCCTAACTCGGGCGTCTCCCACGTCTCCATTAGGAGACTCCTCACGGATCAGTGTTGTTTTTACTGACWCTCTCAACCTCCACGCTGGGTGGCTGGGTGAAAAAATGAAAGACTCAAAGAGGCCCAGGACTTTGGCCGTGGGTCTTTCTGAGATCAAGCTGCATATTCTTTCTGCTTTAATAAGCGTGAGGAGTCATGGACTAGAACGTGAGTTGGGGTAAAATGTCCCTGGCTGCTGCTCTGTGACTCTATCCCTGAGCCCAAGGCCTGGTGCACAGAAGGTTCTCACACATCTTTTCATTGAAAAGAAACGMCCAATATTATCTTGTCTTACCCCTCCTTTCCTCTTATATGTCATTTTGTATAACCCTGAGGATCGCCTTCCATTTCCATGCGGTTTCCCTTCTCACTCCCTTTCCCTCCCACCTCTCATCCCTGTTTAATGTTAATCTTCTTCTCAAGCTCTTCGTCCCTACCCTGTCCTTGGTTACTCCCCTTATATCAAAGGAGTCATTTGGTATTTGTTTTTTAAAGATTGACTAGCTTCACTTAGCATAATCTGCTCTAATGCCATCCATTTCCCTCCAAATTCTATGATTTTGTCATTTTTTAATGCAGAGTAATATTTACAGTAGAAGGGGTAGAGAGAGAAAAGGGGAGGGGAGGGGAGGGGAGGGGGGATAGTGGAGAATAGGACAGACAGCAGAATACATCAGACACTAGAAAGGCAATTTGTCAATCAATGGAAGGGTAACTGATGTGATAGAGCAATCTGTATACGGGGTAAAATTGGGAGTTCATAACCCACTTGAATCAAACTGCGAAATATGATGTATTAAGAACTATGTAATGTTTTGAACGACCAACAATAAAAAAAAAAGAGAGCAAAAAAAAAAAAAAAAAAGAAAAAAAAAAAAAAAAAAAGAAACAACCAATAAAATGAAGCTAGGCTTGAGGGTCAGGTACCAGAGCAGGAAAATGAGCTCATCACCCCCTGGCCACAGGGCCTCAGGCAAGTTAACCTCTCTCCTCCTCCTTCGCCTCCTCTGTAAAATGATGAGCCCAGTGTTTGTGGACCCAGTAAGCAGGCAATAAGCAGGGGCACTAACTCCATGGAAACAGACACTCCCTTTTATGCAACGGAGTCAAGAAACCTTTGTAAGACTCTGTACTGATCTAAAACCTAACGCGAAGCAGCCATTCCTAAACCTCTATTCTTTAAAAGTTCAAAATTAAAAATCTGCTGATATATAAATGGCAAGAGTGGTGTTGGATTTTCAGAAACAGTGCCAAAATATCCTGACCTATCGTCTCCAGACTCACACTTTCATTTATTAGACCGTGTGCTTCTCAGTTAGAATCAGAAAGCTCGATTCCCATGAACCCAGGCAGCATTTACAGTGGAGTTAGGCATACAACCTTGTCCTTACTGACAGCTCCCATGTATTAAGGGCCACCCTATGCCAGCCTCTACCAGATGATTTTGCTCCAGCTGAGAGCCTGGCTGTGCCCCACATGAGGAAAACAGACCCAAGATGTCCAGCGTGAGACCCTTGAGTTCCCACTGTCTTCTTCAAGGAAACACGAGTCACTGTACATGCTCAAAAATAACCTCCCCTGCCAGCCACCAAGCCTGGATGCAAAAACGAAGGACACTGTCCTGAGAATTAGTGCCTGGAAAAGAGAGTTCCCCTCCCTTTCTAGTCAGCGGGTCTTCAGGTTAGAGAAAGAATTTCCTGTAGGAAAAGTGATATTAGCCTGGCCCACTCCTACCTTTTGGATTGTAAATGAGTTCCCCTAGGATCTAACTACTTTCCTTTGAAGTGTAAATGCCCCTATGAAAGCTCTCAGCCCCAGGCTAAAGATTTACCAAGGCCATAGTAAAAGAAGCCAGTTCTTCCTCTTATCACATCCTCTGCTTCCCACTTGAAACCAGTTAACAACTGTGTATTGTTCAGATTAGAAAATTTATGACACTAGAGAGCCTATAAATGTGGGGGAATAGGCACTCAGAATTTGGAATCTGATCTCCTCTGCCCCCCACCCCCAGCCTAAAATAAAATGTGGAGTTCTCCTCCTCTCCAAGTGCTGCTTGCTATTTCTTGACCAGTTGGTTTCCCACAACACTGGAGCATCCTTGAAGAAAATAATAATAATAATAATAATAAAGCAATCTTGAGTCCCAGGTAACCCTCACGTGTCTTTTTCTTACAATCTTCAGGATTCTGACCTTGCCACTTCAAAACACTTCCACACTCATCCCCTTCTTTCTTCTATATGCCCCCAGGACCACAGGACCCCCCTTTCTTCCACGTCTACCAGCATGTGCGGGTGCTGCGCCAGGTCCTGTCCTCTCCCAAAGATCCAGGTCTACCATCTTTGCTTTCCTAGGTGTGCTCAGTAAATGCTGGCTGCCTGAAGGAGTGAGCAAGCCAGTGGGTAAAATCATGAGCCCAGCTTACTTTGGGTTAAATCATGGGACCAGAAGGTCCGATTTCTCAGAGACTTCAACTACTTACCTAGCTCTTTGATAGCTTCTCTTTTGTTGGTTTCCAGAATTTCATATAATTTCTGTAAGAAATTAAGAAAAACAGACATTTCTTGTTACAACAAGCATTTCCAGATTTAAATTCTGATAAGCAGCAGCATGGTCTAGGAAATCTCTCTTCCTTTGGTTTAAGAGAGATCTTCAGCTCATTGTCCCCCTCAGGTCAATTCTGCTATCTTCTTTGGGCTGAGATTTAAATTGCAGAGGATGTTGTGCGGTCAGCACTTTGCATAGCTACTGTGCCTGAGAGATCTCAAAACAGTCCACCCACCGTGCACCAAGGAGAATTCTCACCAACAGAGCCCAATTTGGAGGTGTGCTGAGAAGCTATTTGGAGAGCCAGTCTGTCGGCAGCACAAGAACAAGAGTAATGATGAGAAGAAACAGTGCCCATTAGTTCACATTTCCTACAGGAAACTCTGTACCTAACTAAAGACATAGCTTCCCCTCCCTGATCCTCTGTGCTCTTCCTAACACACACCAATCCGGCTTTTCAGTAGCTCTTTTAATTTTCTTCTGCATTCTACAAAGTAATCCACCACACACAATTCCGATGCACATTAACGTCTGATACAGTAAACGCAGGTAACTTCCCAGCCTGTTTCCCTCTGCCGACCTCAGTGAGGAATCAGCCTCAGTTTCCTGGGCTGAGAGCCAGAGGTGACCACTGCCAGCACACACCTTCCACAGACCACGGGCCTCCAAGCCACGCAGCACCCAGTCACCCCTTCCAGGGCTTTAGTCATTAGGCTTTAAGTTCATTGTTGGGTTTAAAATCCAGAGTTTCATGTGAGCTGAGAAAACTGTTGATACAGTTCAATTATTGACACTATTCAGTTTAGACCCTCATCGACACATATGAAAAGAGAACCCGAATCACCAACCACTAGAGGAAAAAGAAAAAAAAAACAGGACAAAAACCCCAAAAACAACCCATAGGAGAATGAACACCAAGAAGTAGAATTCACACAGGAAACAAAGAAACATTTTAAACAAAGGGGTTCAAGAGAATATCGTGTTAATTTTTTTAATGAAATGAGAAGCCAAGAGGCAGAGGAGGGCTGTTCCAGCTTCTCCGAGGCTCCACGTGGAAGAACAGCCCCACTGGAGATCTCAGCAAACACGGCCACCCCATCCCCAGGGGAGCGCCGTCCCAACGGCACAGAGAAAACCCAATGCAGCGAGGGGGAGGTGGCAGATGGGAGCAGGAGTGCAGTTCATTTTCCCTCTGCATCTGGAGGCTCAGGTGACCAGCTGAGGTGGGAACTGAAGAGCTGCATGTGACCACCTCTGAGGACTGGGGACAGGTCTCGGGGGGCCACTCTCACCTTCTGGGTGTGAGGCGCCCAAGGCACTGATGCCCAGGGAGGCCTAGCACTGGCCTCTCAGAGCGTGTCCATCCACACTGTCTGCAGGAAACCTGGCTAATGGAGCAGCCCGTTCAGAGCTTGGCGTCGGCCCCCAGAACTTGCTGTCCTGGAAGCGCGTGTCAACTGCAGCGGGGGACACTTGCCATCCCTGTCCTCCTGCAGGAGCTGAACGTCATGTCAGCCAGCTTCAATCCCAGGCCACCGCAGTCAGCCTGGTGAGCAGCAGGAGAGGAGGAAGGACCCCCAGTCCCTGCTCCCTCTAAGGTGTGTGTGCCCAAGAGGACTTGGGAACAGTGCAGACTGGCACAGGAGTGAACGCCACTGCGGTCCTGTTTCAGCCATCAGCAGAGACGATCCTTCCATTTTCATCAGGGTTTTTTTTTAAATATATATTTGTTGATTGGTTCATATAGTTTTTCTTTGTTTTTATTTATTTATATTTTTATCCTTGTTCTGTTTTGTTTGAATTTGAGGTTTTTTGGTTTTGATTTGTTTTGATAGCTTGGGATTTGGATTACTCTTTGTCTTCTCCAAATTCTCTTACTTTCTTTTTATTTTGTTTTAGCTTTTATTTTATCTTTTCTTTCTTTATGGCCTTCATACCTTTCTTCGGCTCTCTTTTTGCTTTTTGAAAACTCTAACTCCTCTTTTTCCTTCTTCCCATTTTCTTTTCCTTAATTAATTGCATTTTTACCATCTCTTAAACTGTTTGGCTTAGATGATTTCTGTCCCCACCATCCCTGTGTGGCTGTGGGTGTTGTGGTGGCCCACATGACACCTGGTTTGCTGCTTATCTGGCTCACTGCTGTTTCTTGCTATTGCTGTGGTTCATTTCACCTTTTCTGTGATAAAATGAGGGGCCCAGCCCAGAGACAGGACTCCCTGCTCGGCCCACAGCCCAACCCCACTTGACCTCAGTGAGTACTCAACACCAATAACGGGGTAGATAAAAACCCCAGCCTACAACCAAGCCCCAGGTAGGCATGGCTGGGGGCCTGAAGACCCGCTCCTGTTCCTACAAGTGACAGAGAGAGAAACAGACAAAGATCATGGACACCACACAGGTAGGGACCTCGACATAGGTCACTCCCCAACCCTTTTAGAACACACAGTGTGACCAGACAAGAGTAGTCACACGGGGTGTGTCCTATATACTTTACTCTTGTGAGACCTACAGAGAAAGTACGTCCCATGTCAAAGCACACTATTCCCCGCCCCGCCAAAAACAAGTCGCAGGGAAACTATACTCTGAAACCCACTTGGACATACACTCAACACTTCACCACAATCCCATATCCCAGATCACATCATCAAGAAAAAGCTGATCCMTAAAAAGACCCCCCCAGAAAAGCAGAAGGGAACGCTAATCTGACAGATGGGTAAATCTGAAAGAACGGGCAGCAGGACTTACCCTGAGTTTCACAGCCCTCCAGACTTCAAAGAGTGGATTAAATACCCGTCAAAGAATTCTTAGTCTGTTCTGGATTTTAATGCCCCATCTGAGGAGCAAGGCAAAGATGTTCTCCCACTCTGTAGGCTCTCTCTTCACACTCTTGTTTCCTTTGCTGTTAAGAAGTTTTTAATATGATGCCCTCCACTTATTGATTTTTTAAAAAAATTTTACTTCTTGCACTTTAAGAGTTTTGTCAAGGAAGTCAGTTCCTGTGCCAACGTGATGGAGTGTTGGGCCATTTTCTTCCAGCAGTTGAAGGGTCTCTGGTCTAATGCCAGGTTTTAATGGTCTTTGATCCATTTGGAGTAGACTTTTGTGCAGGGTGAGAGATAGGGGTTAAATTCCATTCTAGTACTTACGGATTTCCAGTTTTTTCAGCACCATTTGTTTAAAAGGTGATCTTTTCTCCAACCTATGTTTTGGGCACCTTTGTTTAGAATCACATAACTGTATTTATGTGGGTTTGTTTCTGTGTCTTCTCTATTCCCTCCATTGGTCTTCATGCCTGTTTTGGTGCTAGTACCATTCTGTTTTTGTTACTATAGCTCTGTAGTATAATTTGAGGTCTGGTATTTTGATGTCTCCTGCTTCACTTTTCTCAGTAAGGATAGCTTTGACTATTTTGGGTCTCTTTACTATTCCAAATTAATTTCATAATTGCTTTTTCTAGTTCTTAATACACACAAAAACAAACAACCAAATCAATAAATGGGCAAAAGAAGACATTTCTCAAAAGAAGAAATACAAATGGTCAACAAATATCTAAAAAAAAGTGCCACATTTCTACAATTATGGAAATGCTAATTAAAACTACACTGAGATTCCATCTCACTCCAGTCAGAATGGCAATTATCAAGGATATACATAACAGTAAATGTTGGTGAGGATGTGGAGAAAAACGTACACTCGTACATTGCTGGTGGGAATGCAAATTAGTGCAACCACTCTGGAAAGCAGTATGGAGATTCCTCAAAAAAACGGGAATGGAACCACCATAAGACTCAGTTATCCTACTCCTCAGTCTATAACTAAAAGATTTAAAATCAGCATACTACAGTGATAGGGGCACATCAATGTTTATAGCAGCTCAATTCACGATATCTAAGCTATGGACCTAACCTAGGTGCCCTCCCACAGATGAATGGATAAAGAAAATGTGGTATACAAACACAATGGAGTACTAATCAATCATCCATAAAGAAGAAGGAAATGGGACATTTGCTGGTAAATGGATGAATCTGGAGACTACAGTGCCAAGTGTAATAAGACAGTTCCCAAAAGTCAAAGGTCAAATGTTTTGTGTGATATGTGGAAGTAATCCAAAATAAGAGGGGTGGGGGATTTAAAAAATGAAGAAAGACCAGTGCAGTAGATTAAGGGGAATGAAGTGAAGGATGGGAATCTGACCTAACATTCCTGTGTACATACATGAACACACCAGGGATTCTCACCATCATACACAGCCACAAGACACCGACTAAAAACAAAACTATACACACAAAAGATCAATGGAGCAGGCGGAAGGGATTAGGGGGAGTGAGGATGGAAGGGGAAAGGGAAATACTGGGGACTGAATTAGAACATGCTTTTATAATTACATCAAAATGAATCTTAGTATTGTGTATAACTAAAAATAACCAACAATTCATTGTTTGTTGTTCTTTGTGCTATGTTCTCTCCTTTATATACATTCAAAGATCTTACCCTTTAGCCAGGAGGAACCTCTGAATGTTACCAAGTACAAAGTACATATGAAATTTAAGATGAGCCTTTTAGGGACACAAACCTATTAAACTTCAAAGAATGCGGGTGTGAGGGAGCCTGGTTAGGAAGCGGCTCGCCATCTCCAAGCCTGCCTGGTACTAAGTGCATACAGCCAGGCAGGATGGGGGTCCTCTTCACCCGCTCCCCAACACCAGCCACCCGTGCTGCCCCCGTGGGTGGCTTTCTGCTATGAAGATCACAAGTGAGTTTGGTGAGAACAGCTGAAATGTAAAGACGAGGGCTTGTTTCCTTCCACAGCTCCTTTAGGACATGATAAACAGACCCCTTCCACTTCTGGTGTCTGTTTGGCCGAACAGATATAGAAATGATTGAAAAGAAATTAATACATCTAAGTGGTTTTTCTATCCCCTGCCCCCCCCCCAAACAATGCTTATCTCTCACCTTATATATTGATTTACGGCCAGAAATTTGTTTCATTAAAAGTTCAGCATCTTCTTGACTTTTGACATAGCCTTTGGTAATATTGTACATCAAGCTGAGGTGTTTTTTGACCTGCACATCTACAATATTTATCAGCATTGGAATTGCTAACTGGAATTATGGAGAGAGAGAGAGAGAGAGACAGAGAAAAGCTCTGTAAATTTTGTGAAATTTAAAATGGTGCTTTTAGGTCATAAAGCAGAAGTTCCCAAAAATGTTGTCTCCAGACAAATAATGCAGTACTCAGACACTTGTTAAAGATGCAAATTCTATCAGGATGGCCTGAGGCCTGAGCCTGAGCAACTCCACTTTAAAACTCCAGTTTGAAACCTGCACACCTACAGAGCCCTCCAGTATGGCCCTCAAGCACAATCAAGTGATATGCATCTGCTGAACTTAAAGCCTCAGGCTTGAGACCTTTGATCTCACACTTGAACTTAGCAYGCAGAGGGAATGTCTGTTATGAGCCTGTGGTGATTCAGTGTGTTTGCAGTGCTTAGAATTAATCTAGGGGGCTGGGGATGTGGCTCAAGCGGTAGCGCGCTCGCCTGGCATGCGTGCGGCCCGGGTTCGATCCTCAACACCACATACCAACAAAGATGTTGTGTYCGCCAAGAACTAAAAAAATAAATATTAAAAAAAAAAAAGAATTAATCTAGAAGTGTTTGCTGTGAATTGATTATGTCTATTGCAGTGCCTAGATTAAAGATTGTCATTTCCTTGATTAAGAACCTATAGAGTGAAATTGTATTGAGTGACTTGAGTGAATAAAACATTGGAAAGGGCAGAAGGGTATGGACATTCTTTATCTCTCCCCTAAACTGCAAATGTCGCACCTTTTGCCCATTGTGACACCCAGTCAGATGGTACTCGTGCTCCTAAGCAGGGGATCCAATAGAAACAGAGGCACGAACAGAGGGGGCACTCATCAATAATAATGAAAAGGGCGTGGACAGGGGAGAAGGTAAGGAAAGGAGGAAATTCCAGAGGCCATAGAAAGAACAAGCCAAAACTCTTCCACCAGATTCCTGGCTCCGGGACCCCTGCTCTTTGAAGAATTCTGTCTCTGTCTCGGTTTTGCAATAAACCTGCTGTATGCATGCTATCTCTGTGTCCTGTTCTTCAATTCTCTGCTGAAGGAGGTAAGTAACCCAGCACCCCTAGATAGTAACATAGTTACTGACTAAAGAACTCACCTCTTGTGAGATGAGGAACTTAGGGAACTAAGATCCTTCTTAGCTCTCAATTTCTCGGATCACAGGTTGAGGCAGGCTAACGTAGTGACTTCAAATTTTTAAACATAAACCTGTCTAGCTTCAAAACCAGTGTCCACCAGCTCTGTGACCTGGAGAAAGTTACTGAGTGACTTGGAGGACTCAGTGTCCTCGTGTATAAAATGAGGGTAATCATGTGTAAATACCAGAATTCCCATGGAGACACCCCTCAAAAGCAGAAGCACTCACTCGCACAACCAGGGGACTTCCCACAGACTTATAGCTATGTCAAAGCTCAGGGACAGATGGCAAGGGACTGGGTAACACGGGCGGGGGGAAGACAAAGAACAGGAGAAGAGTATCACAGTGCAGGAATTACGAGAGCAGAAAAAAGAGAAAGCTTTTTTAGCCACCATTCGGTTATGAAACTTGGGGGAAAGGGAGAGCTGTTTCAAGAAGACTTTTCAAAGCTTTCCCCCACAACACACGGACATTCCCTGTGCCGTCCCTTGGAGCACAGTGTCAAAATCTCCACAGGACTGTTATCATCATTTAACTGGATAACATACGTAAAGTACTTTACACAGTTCCTGGAAAATAAGTGCTCAATTAAAAAAAAAAAAAAGCTAACCATAATAATATTGAGTCCTTGAGGATACTTCATTGAGCTTTGTCTGGAGTATACTAGGAAGATTCCATTTTATTTTTCACAAAGTACCACTTCTAAAATAATTGTTTTACATTCATCAGAGCAAGATATCTGTGTAAAAACTGATTACCTAAAGAAAATTCTGTCTTCTATTTTAAGACCTAGCCTCAGTACGTGACTCTTGATTTCTAGAGTCATTTGTATCAGGTAGAGTGATACCTACGTGAGCACTCCACTCTAAACTCAGCCCATTCGGTAAAGATCATAGAGAGGGAATTAACCCTAAAAGCAGGTTTTGTGTATACAGCACTGCACAGCAATCCTCATGACATTCATATAAAATTTAAAAACGACCCGAAGCAGTCTATGAGCACAAGCTGGGCAAACAATTCTAACTTTAAAAAACATAACCCTGAAATCTTGCGGAGGAGGGGACTAGGTGGAAGATGCTGATGCATGAATTGGGTCCGTAGTGTTTACGGCAAGGTTTTAAAATGCCGAACCTGTACCATTTCAATACATACTAATAGACTTTTTTGATGTGATAAGAATTATTAAGAAAAAATGGAGTGGCAAGTATAATCTCTCAACTCCCAAGCTGAATGCTGATGCGGTGCATCTCCATTGGAAAGAGAGAAAGCAGGTGTAAATGTCGAGAATGGAAACATAAAAATCTACCTCAGAATTCAAACCAGGGCCATGGAGAGAAGGAATCATAATTGCTAATGAACCTGAAGACCACAGGAAAGGCAGCATGCTATGTGAGTAGGGGACTGTGGAGGGGGAGAATTTCCTTGCTATTTCTACATAGTTGGGGTGATTGGAACAAATTTTACTGACATTTGAAGGACTTGTTTCTAGATCAGCCTGCTTCTAGAGGCACCTATTTTTTACCCATTCACTCAGCAGGAATATTCASTAAGGACTTAACTACACAGCAGGCACTGTCTTGAGCCGGAGGTTACATCAGTGACCAAAACAAGAAGGCCCGCCTTGGGGGGCAGTACAGACAAAAATGGGGAGAAAAGTAAGAGTTCAGCAGACAGAACAGGGTCCAGAGGAGGGAGCCCAAGGCTGAAGGTGGGCACAGGTGGCCACTGCTCTTAAAACAAGGACATTTCTGAAATCACTTACTAAGTGATATAGGAAAAAATCCTAACAATTTAAAATTCAAAGTCTTACCTTGAAGATAGGAAGAAACCTAATTATTCTTAAGTATCCCATCACCACTGTGAGCTGGATAAGGAACAAGTTGCTTGTTCTTAGTCTGACAAAGTATATACAAAAGATATCCACGAGCCCAATAAGCAAAATTAAAAAATCCAAAGTATTCCAATGTTGTTTAAAATAGTTCCTTTTCAGAATAATTAACTGTGTAGAAAAGAAATAGAATATATGTCATTTCATAGTACCTATACATGGTGTAAGGGGAAAAATTCTTACAGTTTGGCAACTAAGCTCTCGGCTATAAATGGGTTATATTCCAAAAGTTGAGCTTTAAGTTATTCATTTGGAATTTCCCAAAATCCTTTGTAATCTCCAACATCAAAAATTTTGGTGTGAATCAGAATATATAATCTATAATGAAACTGGAGTGTCAAAACCAAGAATGTAAAACATAGCAATAAGCAGATTCATTATGATACCGTTCATAACAAAGTCTGAAAGCGGTTCTGGCTTCGCAGCACAGGGAGWGGTCCTCGTGTTATGACAAAGACCAGCAAACCATTGTTGCTTCTATTTGCTAATTTATTTCTTGTATCATTACTGAAAGTATGTGGAAGAAATCTCTTTGTCTGGATTTTCAGCTTTCTTTTRCCTTATCCTATGATTCTCTCTACTTTTATATTTAGTTAATGTCCAAGACTGTGACTCTTCTATTAATTTCATCATTAAACTCAGAAAATTCAAACAAAAGTTACTAAAATTCCAGGACCACATAATAACAGATAGCTTCTGTTAACAAATGATTTCAAACTATTCTAAATATCTGCGTTATTCTTTTCATGGACTATATTTTTTTTTTAAACAGTACCTTCAAAGTTGATTCTAACGCACATAAAAATATAAAATAGTGGTTCATTGATATCAGTGCTGATACATTTAACTCTCTTGCCATTGGCCATAAATGTATTATCATGGGATAAATATACAATAATGTCTTAATATGTCCTGCATATTCAAATTCTTCTGAAAATACAAGGTGATATACAAAAATCAGAAATCTATTACTCCTGGAAAAAAAAATCAAATAAAATGTCAGATCACTTCCAAGAATAACAATTAAGAGCTGAAGTTCAACATTTGTTTAAATAAATCATTAAAATTAATTTGAAGACTACAAATAAAATAATAGATAGCAAAAATAAAAGCATAATTTCTGTACATCAAAATCATAATAGAGAAAGATAAAAATATGTTTCTGTTCATCTATTTCTAGGATGGGGAGCATCTTTTTWAAAAAAAATCAATGCTATAGGATATAGGAAATGATGCAAGGATTCATAAATCAAAAGCAAAAACAAAATGACAAGAATATGAGTTACACATCAGCATTATTTAAATGTAAGAACAGAAAAACAACTATTCAATAATTACTATAACATGTATTTCTTAAAACTTTTCAATCCATCTAAAATAGACCCTAATTTTTTTTAGCCTGATTTTTAAAAAAATAAATTCCCTGCATATGTCAATATCCTAGGTGTTTGATTTTTCTATTTATCTTTGAATTAATTAAATGGAAGAAAACAAAACAATGTCCGATTTTGTTGCAAAAGATCAACACCCACTTAAAATTCAGCAGCCTCAGTGGTGAAGGTATTGTTAAGTCCGGGTTGTATTTCTCCTAAAGACAGACCTCAATATGACCACCCTGCGGCACAGATTAAATTAAACTGAGCTAGATCTCATGCGCCATCTGGGTACTTCTCACCCTTGCACTGCATCTAGAAGAAGATGCACGCATCCCAGTCCACGACATGACCCCACAAGACCACCCTCTCTTCTTCCTGCCCACGCTTTCATAGAGGCACCAGTGAAGGGGCTGAAACAGAATGAAGGGAAGCAAGCACTCTGTACCTTMACCCCTTCGTCAATGAGAGTTGACCATGATATTAGTTTTATTTTAATAAGGAAAATCAAAGTCATTTATTCAAAAACTATGGAAATTATACTATTTCCAAGGGTATTGCTATTAAAAGTTCAGAATACTTGTGTGCACGTATGAATATGTCACAACGAATCCCATTTCTAGGTGCAACTATGATGCACCAATTAAAAAATGTAGGGAAAAAAGTTCACAATACTTACCCAGGTAGAATAAAACGTCCCTTTTCTCTATGATATTCCAAGTAAGTTAACATGTTTTTAAACTTTATAAGCCAACTTCTAGCTCTTACGTAAGTTGAAACATCATGAATATTCATGAATCTAACAAAAATACAACATGCATTATGATAAAAACTGACCATAATAAACAGGGTAATATAAAAGGGGAAGTTATGCTAAATACAAGTTTAATGAGGATCTACTAAATAATTTCACTGAATCCCAAGCCTCTGCACCCATCCACCTATCCACCTGTGGTCATGAGACATGAGACACCTGTGCCCCCGTTCCTAGAACCATTCCTGACCTGAGACAGAATGTAATTAAAGCTTCTCTAGACCAATCCTTTGGGGTTCTGGAATCCAGCTTCCTTTTGTCATTCACTGCCCAGCCCAAGCCTCCCCCCACAAAGGCCCTGCTTGTCATAATCCCAGGGACCAAGGACAGCTCTCCCACAAAGATCGCTGGGCTGCTGCCCTGCTCACTCTCACCCTCAGAGCTTTGCTGTGAATCACCTGTTACCTAATGCTTGCCAGGACTGTGCCCAGATACGCACTTATCTCTGAGACACTGGGTTTTCCCCACCGGATTTCATCACATCCATCAAAACCAGTTGAGCCGGTAGAGAGACTGCTCTACCCCAGAACTGTTTAACCACAGACCCAGGCCTCCGCCTTCTCCTCTAGCAATCTCGTGGATATGATATGAAAGCAACACACTCAACAACAACAGAAGCCATGAAGTTCTCCTTCATGGGTCCCCTTGTCTCTCATCTAATTACTCCTCCAGAGTCCCCTTAATGTCACCAAGCTCATGAAACCACACGGGAAAATTAGCAAACAAGAAAAATAGAAAATACATGAATAGATGGATAGATGGACAGAGAGATGGATGTGGATAGATAAAATAGATGATAGATTGATCAATCTGGACATTTAACGCTCCATTTGTTCATTCTTAATCACATACCAACTCAATTTTGGAAATATCAAATTTAATTAATTAATCAATTAACTGGATTAATCAAAGAAGTATTACACTTACTTTCCTTGGATGGGGCAATAGCTTTTCGTTGCACCAATTAATATCCGGGCTGCCTCTACTCCAAGGATGCCATCATTACACTGCTTTTCAAAGCTACTCTAAACACACAATTTTAAATAAAAATTACAAAAGATCAAAACATGAATATAATCTACTCTGCTTACACCTTACATAGCCCTTGCTATTATTACCGAACTCAATAAATTGGCCCTCTGTATTCATGGTTTCTGCCTCTATGAATTCAATCAACAACTGAAAATATTCAGGGAAAAATCTGATCTATAATGAGAATATATAGACTTTTATCATTATTCTTCAAATAATATAGTATAACAACTATTGACATAGTGTTTGCTCTGCATTGTGCATAATTCAGAGATGATTTAAAGAATACAGGATTATATGCACATGCTCTGCCAGTTCATATAAGCAACATGAATCTGCAGATTTGAGTGTCCATTTTGCAGCTGGGGATCCTAGAACCAATCCCATGTGGATGGTAAAGCATGCCCACAGATGAAAATATACTACTACAGAGAATCTACAGGAGGAAATAAATTTCATTTGATTCAAATATCTACTCAGAATTCATTTTTTTTTTACTAAGTACAGTCCTAAATGTTATAAGAGATACAGAGGAAAGTTCCTAGCTTCAAGATGCTCAGAATCTACACAATTCAGTAATATAAACCACACCGGTAGCACCATCCTTCTGGAGCAGAAAGCAGTGCAAAGTATTAATTCAAAGTGTGATTAATATCTCAGCTCCACAAGAAACTACCAAAAGAGAAAGATATTCCCAGGTTAACCTTCGCCTCTAAACAGGAGGCTTACAGGACCACAAATAGACCTAATCAAATAAGAAGCTCACCAAGACATATCATAATCAAAATAACTAACACAGAAAATAAGGAAAGAATATTAAAAGCCCCAAGAGAGAAAACACCAGGTCATGTTTAAAGGCAAACCAATAAAACTCACTTCTGATTTCTCCGCTTAGACCCTACAATCCAGGAGGGCCTGGAATGAGATATTCCAAACCCTAAAAGAGAACAAGTGCCCTCCAAGATTACTATACCCAACAAAGCTCAGTTTCAAATTTGAGGGGGAAATTAAAAATGACAAGAATATACTAAAAGAATTCATGATGGGGGGAAGTACACTTTTACATCATTGGTGGGACTCCAGACTAGTACAACCACTCTGGAAAGCAGTATGGAGACTCCTCAAAAACTAGGAACGGAACCACCGTATGACCCAGCTATCCCACTCTTCAGTGTGTAACTAAAAAACTGAAAGTCAGCACACTACAGCGATGCCACCACATCAGTGTTTATAGCAGCACGATTCAAGAACAAATATGTTCTTCAACAGAAAATTAAAGAAGGATCTACAGATTATAAGAGACTTAATAGAGATATTGGTTAGTTGCAGTGTGTGAACTTCAACCAAACTCAATTTGAAAGCATAAACTGTAAGGTAAGCATGTATCATATTTCTAAGACAACTGAAAATGTTATTGATTTGATATCTATTCTTATTAGGTAATTATTAATTTTAGGAACAATATTAGCATTTTACTATGTTCTTAAAAGACTTTAAGTTTTACATATACATTTTGAAATATTTACAGATAAAGTGATATGACACTCAGGATTTATTTCAAAATAATATGGAAGGTGGGGGAGTGATTGAAGAGGCAGAGGGGGCAGGATTGGTTGTGTGTGGATAATTGTTAAGGCTGGGTGGTGGGCACATGGTGACATATTACACCACCTTTGTGTATGTTAGGAATTCTTCATGACAATGAGTTTTTAAAAGAAAGAAAAAAAGAAGAATGTGAACACAGTAAGTATATTATACACTTGCTATATTGAATAAAATTTGTCCCATTTAAATAGAAACCTAATTTAAAATGTATAATCTGATATAATTGACTCAAACTTTACTTTACCTAGCAATATTCCTGTATGTATGTTAGAACATGTAAATTATTAGTACCAAAATTTGAAGAGAATTTTTTGGTTCACCAGATTTACTTTAGCTTATATTACTAAAATAATTTTTTTTAGAAACAAGGAAATTTTGTATGAGAAAAAGTCAACCATGTCAAATTTGTAAAAAGCAGTTTCAAATAGTTAAAGCTGTTTATCTAAGTATGTAAATGAAATTAATAATTACTCTAAAGACCCTCAAAATAACTACTAGATACAAAATCAGTGTATAAAAATCAATAGCTAGGGACTGACGTTGTTGCTCAGTGGTAGAATCTTGCCTAGCATATTTGAGGCACTGGGTTCAATCCTCAGCAGCACGTAAAAAAATAAATAAAGTTATGAACAAATGGACATAAAAAATTACAACTAAAAAAATTTTTTAAATTTTTAAGTCAATAGCTTTTCTGTAAGCCAATAATGAACCTTTTGAGAAATAAATCAGAAGAAACCTAGTTAAGGAGGTAAAGGATCTCTATAAGGAAAATAAAGGAACACTCGAAAGAAAATTGAAGAAGGCATTATAAATTGGAAAGATCTCCCATGTTCACGGATTGGCAGAATTGATTTTGTTAAAATAGCCATATAACCAAAGTAATCTACACATTTAATGCAAGCCACCTCAAAGTATAAATGATATTCTTCACATGATTGGAAAAAACAATTCTAAAATTCATATAGAAGAACAAAAGACCCAGAATAGCCAAAGTAATCCTAAGCTCCCAAAAAGCAATGCTACAGGTATCATAATACCCAACTTCAAATTTTACTTCAGAGCCCTAGTAACAAAAACTATAGGGTAATGGGGGGGGGGGGATACAGATGCACAGACCAATGGAATAGAATGGAGACACGGAGACAAACCCACACAGCTGCAGAGCTGGACAGGGTGGCCCACACCTATGACTCAGTGGCTTGGGAGGCCGAGGAAGGAGGACTACAAGTTCAAAGCCAGCCTCAGCAACTTAGCAAGGACCTAAGGGAAGGTCCAGGATGTAGCTCAGTGGTAAAGAGTCCCTGGGTTCAATTCTCAGTGAAGGAGGAAAAGAGTCGCTCAGGGAAAGAAGAGAAAGAGAAGGGAGGGGAGGAGCGGGGAGAGGGAAGAGGAAGGGGAGAAAGAGGAGGAGAGGAACGGGGACAGGAGGAGGAGGAAAAGAGGAGGAAGAGAAAGAAGAGGGAGGAGGAGGAGGAAGAGAAAGAAGAGGGAGGAGGAGGAGGAGGAGGAGGAAGAGGCGGGGGCAGCAATACCAACCATTTGTATTATCGCCACGTGCAATCTGGCTTCTTCTATTAAAACTTCATCTGTCGGGGACTGCTCTGTTTCATCATCATGTACAACATGGGAAAGTGGAACAGCATTTGACTAAATTGTAGAAAACAAAGAGATAAAGTTAAAAATAGGTAAAAAAAAATTATTAGAAGATAGCAAGGCTATACTCAACAAAGATCTCAGTTACTTCAGAGTTGCTCAGATAAGGAGCCGTGCATAAGCTGGGAACTGTTTCGCCATATGAGAAGTGTGTTTTTCAATTGTGGTGAAATAAACATTCCTTTAGGTGCATCTAGATAGCCAAATTTTTCTCCAAACTCTCCATGCTTGGCTACTCTCTAGATTGTCCTGTTTGGGGCTTCTTGGGACACTTACACAGGGAGCCGTCTCTTGGTATGTCTACCCATTGGAAGCGTAATCTCTCCTGCTGCCCCATCAGCCAGTCTGTGAAAACATCCATTCTCCTCATATTTGGCAAATGAGGCTAACCACCAAGACCTTCTCTTTGGAGAAAGAATTCAAAGTCATTTCCCCAAGGTGGCAAAACTCCTGAGTTTTCTGATATTTGGTTAGCAGAATCAGGTTTCTTTTTTCTTTCTTTCTCTTTCTCTTTTTTTTTTTTTTTTTTTTTTTTTTTTACAGACTATAAGGCCAGGCAGACAGACCAAGGGAAGGAAAAGAGGATTATTTTTTTGTCAGGCACCAACTCACCGGAATGATGTATTCGATCTTCGCTTTTTCTTCCACTAAAGTCCAGTTGACATTTGTCAACATCTTTTCGGTCTTGTATAAAGTGGTTGTGTTCTGTATTATCTCCTGAATGTGCTGAATGGCATTTTGCATGGCCATTTGTCTTGGGAGGGAAATGGCACAAAAACCTGTGACAAAGAAGAGCAAGGGCCTGAGCAGCACAGGGAGGACTGCAAGGGAGAACGGACTGGGGACGACCCTGCCGTGAGCTCCTGGGTTCACCTGCACAGCCAAACCAGAGCACAGSGCAGGGGCTCGGCTCGCTCCCAGGTTTTCCACAGAATCAGCCCACCCCCTGTTTCCTTTGGCTATATAACTGAGCTGCATCTGGCCCAGTTGCTAAAGGCATGACTTAATATGTCAAGGCACCCCACCAGTAATTCTCAAAATGTGGGAAACTCCCTGTGTCTTCTCCAGGTAGAAGGGCTGCTGATCAAACTGTCAAATTCCTGGGCTCTGTCCATACCCTCCGAATCAGGCTGGCCTGAGAATTTGCATTTTTAACAAGTTCTTCAGCTGTTTCTTATCCATAATGAAATGTGAAAGCCAATAGAGACACCTCACATTTAACATCTTTCTCCTGGCCAGCAAATCTGCACGCRCAAATGTTATCCCTCCTCTGTTCTGGCTGGCCTGTGCTCTCCCAGCGTTACTGACTTGGTTTATCAAGGCTATGGGCATTCAGAGGTGGCTACTCTGWTAATGATACCAAGTATTTCAGACATGGAAGGAAACCATCCCTCTTTAAATTAGCGAGTTGATCTTGTGGTTTATCCGTGAACAAGTGAGTGGGGATATGTAAATTTCTAGTAGTCTGATGGAATCAGTTCTCGCCCAGCAGAGCTGAGGAGCCGACCCTCCTATAGGACTGCCTAATCCCACCCCAGCTCCCTCCCCCTTGACCACTGCTGCCGGCYAGCTGATCCTGGATTTCTCTACTGGATGTGTCTCTTGTAACTTTATTGTATTTATGCATTTTATGATAAACAAGTTTCAAATACCTTTGAGATAACAGAAAATGTTCCTGTTTGGATTTAATTACATGTACACTAATTACTATTATCAAGCTCAAATTCCTATTAGAAAKAGACAACGGTGGCAGAGCCTGGGGCTTGTCTTCCAATGTCCATTCTCTCCTTCTTCCTGTCACCAATAGGATATCTGAACTGGGGGTGAATACATGGCCAGCCAGAAAAAGATGATATTCCCCATCTTCCCTTACGAATGTGTGCCATGTGATTAAATTCTGGATAAATTTATTAAATTCTGGATATTTATATTAAATTCTAGATAATAAGTTCTGGTTATATAGATATTAAGTTCTGGATTGTACCTTTAAAAGAAAGATGCTTACCCCCACCCACCCACCTATCCCCATTTCTTCTTCTAGTTGCTTGGATAATAGACAGGTGGTAATGAGCGATCTCCTGCCCTGCAGACTAGAGGAGCACCCTACAGAACAGAGGAGCAACAGAAACGGAAGAACTTGGACCCCTGGATGACCTRGTGCAGCAGAACCATYCCACTCTTTTGGATTCTGCAGTGARGGGAAAAGAGATTCCTGTGTCTTATTTAAGCCTCTGTTCACTTGGCTTCTGCTACACCAGATGAACTATTACAATTACACAGCATCTGTACTAATTGTTATCAACAAAGATAATGAGTAAATGAAAATAACTGGCCTCTAAACCAGTTCCTTGAACTTCATAAGAAATGTCTGCATTACCCGCAACAATAACTTATTTGCATTTTTCTCCCCAGTTAGGAAACRATTATGCATATACTTTACCTAAAGTCCTAGCCGAGAAAGTCATCATGTATGAATTTATTGCCATAGTCAATAACGATATCACTTGTACGTAGAAAATAAACTAAAAACAAAGCATACAGGTGATTAGAAAGAGAATACTACCTCCGTTTTCAAAAGGCAAGCATGGCTCATTTAACCACCAACACAATTCCATCTTAATCTTTTATCTTTAATCTTTACACTGTCTCCAGTAAATAAGCTGAGGCAAAAGGTCAGTTTTGTGGACACTGTTTGAACACGATATACCAGGGAAGAAATTATACCAGGAAGAATGTGAACAAAGGAAAAGTAATAGGCGGTGCCAGATAAGGACGCTGAGAGAAGAGCTTCCAGCCATCACAGACGTGGCTGTACCACATGCAGGATGGGGAGGCACCCCGCAGCCAGGCAGGACAGGGACACACACCTGCTACCAGCATTTACCGTGGCTACTGASAGGCCGTGAGGGAGCAGGCTGGAGCTGAGGTGCAGTTTGGAGAGGCACCAAACACACACACAAAAAAATAGACAAGTGCCTCTGTAAGCCTGGGCTCTGCCATTTATTAACCCTGTGATTGAGGCCAGTTAGCCCCTCTGAGCCCCTCACTGTAAGACACAGTAGATCTCTCCAGGGTGTTTCCCATCTGACTGGTAACAGTCCCCTCGTGTGCCTGGTGAACATACTGATTCTGCAGATCGTGATTACAGATCGCAGAGCCAAGAGGATCTTAACACCAGACAGAGTTAGGAAACACTATGAAACGGTACCCAAATGCGAGTTAACGTCTTGTCGGCTTGGTTTTAAGCCAATTCGTTGCATATAAGAGAATCAAAGGAGCTGAAATGTTGGTTATCATGACTTTCTTCTGGAGGAGGGAAGGACAAGCCACAGGTTTACTGGAACTCCCATGTTCCCATGTGAAGCCCACGTATATAAATCTTCAGGATAGATGTGGTGAGGAATATGATATTCCATCAAGAAAAGCACTTCCTCTTAAAAATTCCTTTAATTCCAGACCACGTGGTATCAACTCTTAATGCAACACTATTTAAAATCTTTCTTGCCTTTCTTCACCAGCATTTCAGTCCTTGTTCTGACAGATGTAGGGATGGGAATGATCTCCATAAGGGCATTATTTTTTCCCACGCTTTCTGACATCAATTGAAAAAGAGCACTTGTACAGTTAACGACATTTATGGAGCATGTATAAAGGGTCAGGTGTTTTAGTAAGCATCATCTCCAGCCTCAACTGGAAATTGAGGCTCAGCAAGGCTGGGAACTTCTGCAAGATCACCCAGACCAGGACTGGTAGAGTCAGGACTGTAAGGCAAGTCTCCTTAGCACCCCTATCCTAAACACATGACCACTGGTCCCTGTCACAAGGTCAGCATTAAAGAACTTTCCTCTGAGTCCCTTCTATTTAAAAGGATGCATTTAAAAAATCTAATTCAAAACCAGTTAACTTTATTATCTGAGTATAGTAACAAGTGCCACAAGATAAGAAAAAGTGCATAAATACTAGGAACCATGAGACGTGATTCTTTTTTCCCTACCATTTGTGGTGCCGCTACTTTTTGATCAGCCAGATTATAAATATCAGGAGACAAAAGTAAGCTAAAAACTCCTTTAATTCCAGACCACGTGATGACAACTCCCCATCGCCAACTGTACTCATAACTGGAATGCATCAAAATCGGGGTCACAAAAATAACAGTAAGCATCCTGTGGACAGAAAACATTGAAAACGAATAAATCACACCTCACATATGAATGTTACTTACAGAYGAAACCATCTACTCAATCCTAAATTTTTCAAGAAAGAGAGATGACACAGTTTATTGGTAAGTCAATCCAGCTTTCTGGGACTAAACAAATCTAACTAAATTTTCTGTGTAATACCAAGTCTTGAAAAATAATGCTTGGAGTTCCATGTATACAAACAGTGATTTATCATTAACACTATTGTGTACTATTTGCATGGGGGTGGTAAATGCCGGCATGGAGACCTCTTCAAAGAACGTTGACAAGATCATCTATTCCCTGAAGGGTCATAAAATGACTGGATTCAGAATCCGGAATGGGAAGACATATTGTAGCTACACGAATAAACTCAATCCAACCAAAATTTTCCTTAGCTTCCATAGAATCATCCACTAAATGTCACACAAATCATTTCAACTTGTGCCTTCTTTCTATCTAGGTCATTTCTCTATAGGATCCCGAGGGAATCTGTGCCAGGAGAATATCAGCACTATAGTTCACATGAAGATGAGTGTCATAATCAGACTGTGTGCAAGGGTGGCACTGAAAACTACAGGAGGTACTGCAAGTCCAAGAGTCTGGTCCCGTGTTGCTGTTTTTGTTATGATTATAATAGGGCTGTCCTGATTTTCTCACAATGAGAAAGAACTTTCAAAGCAATGGAAGGATTTGAACAGAAAGCATTGGTAGCTATTCCCTCCACACCCCAGTCTTCACCTCACATGGCCCCAGAATGCTTACTCCAGCTTGAAGGTTTTTGAGTCCCTGACTCCAGACCTACGAGAATTCTTCAGGCTTTGGAAAAATGGCAAGTCAGTCACCTCTGCTTACAGTTAGGGTTTGTCTGCCCACATCTGCTCTCTGCCATCCCCCTCTCCAGTCCCACAAACTGAGGGTGGCATCCAGACATCGTTCTCCTTCCAACTTTTTGGTCTGGGGTTGGAGGATACTGGTTCAACCAGTTCCGCTGTAAGTCCTTGGGTTGCAGAGCTGTGCAAACTTGCCTTGGGAAATAAGTRGTCCTTCAACTTAGAAGCCAACGAATATGGTGCTTTAGATAAGTACACTGAAACTTAAGTAAGTGCTCAAAGTTACATAGCGAYAAAACTAACAAGTGTGAGAGGTGGAATTTGCGCTTAGAAATAAACACACAAATTATTCTAGGAAGCAATGACTAACTCAGGTTTTTTTAAAGTTGTCCAGATAGGAAAGCAGAGAAAAGATAATATTARATAACCACTGACTGGACAGCCACATAGGTCTAGCAGGTGGGCACCAAGACCAGGCCCAGAACGGACGGGGCAGAGGATGGAGAGGGCGGGCAGGACTACGGCTGCACACRGTGCCCCTGGAGGCAGGACAAGTGAGAATCCAGGAGAACATCTTACAACCCAAGCTCCCTTGGCCATGGCCTTGTGTGGAAATGGCACCTGGAGTCCCACGGAGGACACAGCTATCGGGAGCAGGCAGCGGCATTCTGGAAGCATGCCTCGTGGACCAGACTTAAATCCCAATCCCAGACCATGTGCCCACAGGTAGATGCTGGGCTGGATCTGGAGTCTCTGGGCTTCRGCTGAGGTCTGATGAAGAGCCCTGTCTCACAGGGCTTCACTCATACTCATGGCAAATCGTGCATGGAAAGTGGTGCTCCATAAATGACTTTATCCTAACGATGGATCACACACAMAAAAAAATGATGATGAAAGTCCACCAAAATGTTAAGAGCCATTAGTCTAGTCCAGTGGTGCTCCCACCTGAACCTGTCTGAACCCCCCGGAGAGCTTGTTAAACCCACTCCCTATCTCACCTCCACAGCCTCCACGCAGGAGAACCTCTGGAACCGGGCCATGAACTCTCATGCCTGGCAAGCTCAGGAGTGGGGCTGCTGCTGGTGGTCCACCTTCTCTCAATTCAAGGTGAAACCTTGGGAAAGAAATGCTCCCCACCTGCACAGCAGCCCAGCCTGYGCCCCCGGCAACCAGGCAGCCTCTGCACCTCACAGCCACAATTGCTCTTGTCTGTGTTCCCTGCTTCCCAATTCTGGGCTCAAGAACTAAGCTTATGGTAGGGCTGCAAATTGGTGCAACCACTATGGAAAGCAGTATGGAGGTTCCCCAGAAAACCTGAAATGGAACCACCATTTGACCCAGTCATCCCACTCCTAGTTCTATACCCAAAGAACTTAAAATCAGCATAGTACAGTGACACAGCCCCATGTACTGATAGCAGCTCAATACACAATAGCTAAGCTATGGAACCAATCTAGGAGCCCTTCAATAGATGAATGTATAAAGAAATTGTGGTACATATACACAATGGAATATTACTCAGCCATAAAGAMGAATGAAATGATGGTATTTGCCAGTAATGGATGGAGTAGAAAATATCATGCTATGTTAAATAAGCCAATCCCCCAAAACTAAAGGCTGAATGTTCCCTCTGATATGCCGATGCTAACACACAATAAGGGTGTGGAGGAGAGTGAAGAATAGAAGTTCATTGGATTAAACATAGGGGAAGGAAAGGAAAGGAGGGGAGATGAGAATAGGAAAGACAGTGGAATGAATTGGACATAGTTTTCCTCTGTTCATATATGAATCACGACCAGTGTAACTCCACATCATGTACAACCAAAAGAATGGGAAATTACACTCCAGGTATATGTAATACATCAAAATACATTCTACTGTCGCGTGTAACTAAAAAMCAAATTTTTAAAAAAGAATCTAAGCTCAGTGAAACAAGCTTTAAAATATAATTATTACCTTACAAAATTCACTGTCACAAATAAGATGAAAATGAAAACTACGGTGTGGAAACTAAAATACTTCATTTCTCCACATCCAACCACGATGCCGAAGAAAGTGTATATCAAATGGTGGTACATAGAGGAAAATATGATCAAGAACCTAGGGCGAAGGAAAAGGATGCCATTGTAAGCAATGCATTTTAAAACTATTTTCTTTTTACACAAACACATCTGCCTTATGCCCGTCTTTCTCGGCTGAGTGAAGGCACTTGCTTCCATCACTTGTTCTACAGACAACGTTTTGCAGGGCTCTGTTGCTGGGCGTGGTGGCACACACCTCTGAKCCCAGCTGGCTCAGAGCTCCTACAGGGAGTCTAGGGAAGCGTCCACCTTCCATGATCTCTTTACCACGTACACAACAGGAAACTTACTTCGTGATTATGAACTCCATCCTGGGCTTGAAGCTTAAGGAATCTAAATTCAGTCCTACAGTGGCCAAAGCCACAATGCCTGACATTCCAAAATATTCCACTGCGGAGAGAAAATGAAGAAGTGAAACAAATGCATGTAACTCTGCACACCGAGGTACTTTATCTTGGTGAAGAATTGGGGCGGGGGGACTTGAGAAGGGTATTTTTTCCTTACATGCTGCTTCAGAGGATCTGCCGGATTGGATCAGAAGCTAGCAAGCAAACTTTTTCTGTAAAAAGCCAGAGAGTAAATATCTAATCTTTGGGGGCCATTCAGGCACCTGTCACAACTTGACTCAGGCACTATAACGCAAACCCAGTCATAGATRATGCACAGACAAATGAATGTGTATTCAAAAACTTTGTCTAGACACTGAGATTTGAATTTCACACAATCCTCACACGGCATTAAATATTTTTCTTTCTTTTTCTTCTTTTTTAAGCCATCTTATGATGTAAAGACCATTCTTAGTTAGCAGGCTGTCCAAAACCGAGCAGATTTGACCCAGTTGAGGATGGTGCTGATGGAAAAGGCGGCTTCACGATCTCTGCTGAGCACCTCTAGGACACCCCCCRGGCCAGGGCTGCAGGCCCGTCTCAGGACTTCCTTGACCACAGTCCCCCCAACCCCGAATCCTGTCTTGCTTTTGCCTTCCTAACGACAGCGGGAATTCCCTGGGCTCTAAACAAATGGGTGAATCTAGTCTGAGGCAAAAATACCAACCATGAAGAATGTCTGAATATCCCCAAAACCCAACAGCCCCAGGTTGAAAAACCTGCAAATAGCACATTAAAAACATCAGAATCAGACACAAAAGAAGAGTGTGAAAGCAATACTTATTTTTGCCTTACCCACGTAGAAAGTCATATACACCATTGAAAAGCACAGGATGACATTGGTCAGTGTATTGCTAAAAATGTCAGTCAATATAAACTGGATGACTCTTGCACACCAGTATCCACAGATTATGCTTCCAAAAATGTCCAAGTTGAGTCCCACAATGATATGTAACTCTGCAGGAAAAAGAAAGAGAGCGTTGAGCTGTCACTTTGGTTTCTTTTACCCCTGGCACTTTGGTTTGCGCTTGCGATTTCAGGTGGGGAATCTCGTTCTTCAGCAGAAGGGACTGTCCCAGGAAAGTGGTTCTGTTGGGATGTCCTTYCTATGCAGTCTGCAGCTTGAGGTTCACTCACCAGGACAGAAGGTTCACACATCCCCAAGAGTCAGGCAAAGTGTGTAACTGTGAAAACCTGTGCACCTGAATCTCCAACAAAGGTCAACCAGCTGGGGATGCAACTTGGTGACTGAGCTCTTGCCTAGCAGGTGTGAGGCYCTAGATTTGATCCCCAACATCAGAGGAAAAAGAGACAAGCAATTCCAATTTTTAAAAAACATGTCAGGGCCAAATGAAACCTAGCCAGGGTCCTGTCAAACTCAGTCAGTTTGTAACCCCTGCGCCAGCCCGGGGGCTTTGGAGAAATGGAGAGGTGAAATTTTCATTGACTGAGGTACTGGTGGCAGTAGGTGGGTGTGTGTCAGGGTAGTCCTGAACMACAAAGTCCCGAACAGTAAAAATGGTCCACGGCAAATGCCCCTGGTGCCTTCATGGGGACGTCCCCAAACACGTGCTGCCACCACTGTCGAGAATCGCCTCCTCTTGCACGATCACAGAGATGAGGAGGACACCCTTTCCTCTCCGTGCTCTTTCTTTCACCCCTTTCCTCTTTACTAGCACCCCATCTGGAAAATGGCCAGGAGGCCTGCCCCACACCTCAGTGATGGTCGGCCACACAGGTCTGGCACTGCTCTCCCTGGTACTGCTGGACCACTTGGCTTTCACCCTCAGGCCCCAGTCCAGGACCAAGCCAACGCTTAACTTCATTCACTGAGACGCAGACTGATCCAGGTAAGAAGCAAGTCTGCACCAAATGATGCAACTGTG